AAAGTACTATCACTTATTTCAAAGAGCCAGAAGATTTTGGAACAGGACTGGAGATTAAATGACTGACTCCCCAGGGGCGGCAAGAAGGATTTCTTAACCTTAAAGCACTAAGGAACTTCTGGTGCCAAAGAGTAGACAGAGATTTCAAGGGACAATGTCAGGCTAAAAAAAGCCCTATTCTTCTACCTGTGTTAATACTATCTAGATCAGTGGCTCTCAAACTTTTGTACTGGTGACCCCTTTCACATAGCAAGCCTCTGAGTGTGACCCCCCTTATAAATTAAAAACTCTTTTAAATATATTTAACACCATTATAAATGCTGGAGGCAAAGCGAGATTTGGGGTGGAGGTTGACAGCTCGCAACCCCCCATGTAATAACCTCATGACCCCCTGAGGGGTCCCGACCCCCCAGATTGAGATCCCATGATCTAGATTAAACAGCACTGAACCTTTTTAGAAATGTAAATTGTTTCTCATAATTTATATTCTTTAGTTTTTCCATTTAATTGTAAGCTCAAGGAAATGAGACTAGTCAACTTCATTTCTGTCTCCATCACTAGTACAGTGCTGCCATGTTTGTATTAGACTCTGCTGAAGACTATAATCCAGATAAATTTAAAGTTTTATTTTACTAGAGATTATAAAATAAAAAAAAATACTTTTAGGTTGAGCCTAAACTACCTGACAGTGTCCCTTTAAATGAATGGACTGGAGTGGAAAGAGTTATCTTTAAAGAAATAATTCTAAGGCAATTTAAGATGAAGTCAAACTACACTTTCAAGATACCAAGTGGTCAAAATTCTTCAAAGACTGTTTTGCAGATTTCAGTGTGGCAGATCCAAATATATTAGCTCTTCCAATTTACCTTTTTTGCACAGTTTCACAGCTAGATGAGTAAAATCAAAGACTATTATTCAATAGGAAGTAAAAATTTAGAATTTCCATAAAAGCTGGATGCTGGAACAGATTCTACTTGAATGTTTTACCTGCTGAAAGTCAAAGTTTAGCAATGCATATCAATAATACCTCTTGAAAGCAGCTTCTGAAAATTTACAAAAAATGAAAATGGTTAAAATTTTGAAATACTATAAAACTGCACGTGAACTTCCCTCTAGGAAGGGAGCTTGCATGATCAGAGTGAAAGCCACTTTCAAAAACATTGAAATTACTCCTCTCGAACGCTGCTTATGGTAAAACAGGAAATGCAACCCTGCAATACATTCACAAGTATCACCTCTTAATTTTTTATGTTATATACAGATCATAATAAAACAAAAACATCTGTATTATTCTCCACACATTGACAGTAACCAAGTTACTTGGAATTCTTACTATTGTGGTACCCAGTCTATATAAGCACCTATTCCTGAGACAACATGCAGGGAAAAGAGTATACAGTTCTTTGAGGTTTTAAGCAACTGAGAATAAGATAGTAAACTGTACATCTTATGTTCTAGTGTCAGGCCAGGTCTACAGTATAAACTTACATCAGTGTAACTATGTCGCTCAAAGGTGTGAAAAATCCACACCCCTGAGCAATGGAATTATACCAATCTACTCCCCGATGTAAACAGCCCTATGTCAACCGGAGGGCTTCTCCCACTGACATAGCTACTGCCTCTTGCAGGGGTGGATTAACTACACCAACAGGAGTAGCTCTCCCCTCAGTGTAGTAGCGTCTTCACTGAAGTGCTACAGCAGTGCAGCTACACCTATGCAGCTATGCCACTGTGATATTTTAAGTGCAGACCTACCCTCAGTGTCACTGAAGTACTAGTGTGCACCAACAGTGTCTTTACTGTTCAACCATATTAATGGCATACAACGAATCATCACGAACTTGCTTCACTATTGTGATGTTAGAGCACCTTTTATGACAGTTTCTCAACTCCTTGGTGTCATGGCCTCTACACTGGGCATCCAAAAAGTCTTAGGGCACTTATCTGAAGACTCTGGAAAACACACATTCCCCGCCCCTCAAAGCATGCTGCCAATTTGCTCTCTTACCTTCAACCACTGTGCCACTGGAATCAGTTGCTCCCTATGAAAGTTAATTGTAGATGGCGAAATTTTCCTACAGCCACCTCTCCTTCCCCCACCCCAATCCCCACAAATGAAAAAATTCAATGTTTTGTTTCCATTAGCAGCAGTCTTGTCAGAATGCATATGCAAGCAATGTATGTTAGTCAGCTTGGAGAAGAAGGAGTTGAGACTAAAAAATGTGTATCTTCATTTTCATAGAATAAGAGTTATATAATAAGATTTAAAATACTAAAGGAAAGAAAAAGAATTTATATGGCCAAACAATCATATGATGTTTCTGAAATTCCTTTCAGACAACCATTGCCATGGAGAATTTCCCATGGAATAAAAGCAGCACTTTGAGAAGAATGACACCATTCTATTTTTGTGTAATCAAAAACAGAATAGTCTCTACTTTTTTGTTAGAAGTAAATGAAGAATTCATTTCAGTAGACATGCACCGTGACAGAAACACTTACTTCAACAGAACCAATCTTCCGGGATCTTGGAAGGGGCGACTTTCTGTGTATGTGAATTGGGTCTGACACCATTGGCTTGAATACCACTATTGATCGATCCGTTTCATCCCTTTTAGAAGTATGTGACTCCTCATCACTATCATTTTTATGGGAGGTTTTCTTTGAGCCTTCATTCTACAAGTAAAGGTATTACCTATTCAAGTTAGCTACATACTTTGTACTATATGGACATGGAAATCCATTAAGTAAATCAGTTACAAAAAATGCTTAAATTATTCTATACGTAGTAAAGTGTTAATGATATGCATGATGTTTAGTGACACAAGGCTCTTAAACCATAAAAATACTGTTTTTATACACCTAAAAAAAGCATTTGTTACTTTAACTCTCTTCTACCACATGTGACAATGTGACCATAATATCATTGCTCACACCACCATGTCTTCTTACAAGTTTCACTGAATATGTAAAAGATAAAATCCTGGTTCCATTTAAGTCAATGGCAAAACTCCCACTGACTTCAATGGGGGCAAAATTTCACCCACAGTGTCTTAACATGTGTAACACCAAATTGTTTAACTATATAGATGTACACATATACAAACTGAAAAATATCATCAATAGTCAATATTCCCTAAAATTCAAATTCATATTTTTTCTTAGATGTCATCTTGTGCATTTGTCAGAATATTGGAGAAACAGGACTATCTCCAACAAAAAATTATGCAAAGCCATAAAAGGTTGCAATTACAAAGGCAGTAAAAGAACAAATGAGGTGAGTATACCTTTTATTGAAGAAAGTATCTATTTGAATCAGAGGGCCTGAATTATGACGTATAACTGTTACTCATAGTACACTAGTTTATTTTTATATGCACACAGTACACACAAAGTTAATTCAAAACCAAGAGTCATTCTTTCTAACTAATTCTCCAGTGATTAAAACAAAAGTTATTGGAACATATTCATGAACAGAGAATCCTTGAACTTTTGTTCTAAAGTATGCCAGAAGTATTACCTCTCGGGAGGCAGGTCTATATCCAAAACCAGCTGGTAAGTTTTTATCCTCTTCACAGCCTTTAGCTCCCGGACTAAAGTGAAGCTCCACATGAAAACGTTCCTCTGAAGAAAGTTCCTAAAGACAGTGAATATCTACTCTTTAAAACATGGTTTGAACTAATCATATTTCTAGATATTTATCAATTTTATTTACTTACCTTGTTTGGATCCTCGTAGAGCATGATAACAATCTGGGTCATGTAATTGAGTTCACTGACAATATTGAGATAGTCCATAGCTCGTTTCCACTGTTCATCTTTTGATTCCTTAAAGAAATGGAAACATTTTGTAACACATTTTAAATTAAAAAACCTTTGAAAAGAAAATTGAAGTGATTTAAGAGAAAAATGCGATCTTAAATTATGAATATTTAAGACATATTTTAAAAATAAATTTTACATTCAACCCAAAATGCCCACAGCTCCTCTAAATTAATGAAAATTAAACAAACATTCTAGAAAAACAAACCAAAGACTAGCCCTTCAAGTTCAGGCCAAATTTAGAACCTTGCATTTGCTGAAATTTTAGGGCTGTAGAAATGACTAGAGAATTTGCCATAAGCCACAGAATGAACCCCTCAACAAGAATGCCCTTCATTGTAAAAAATAAAAATACTGACTCAAAGAATGATCAATAAAGCAATTACTATGCTCATAGTAAACTCCTAATAAGTAGGGCTGTCAAGCAATTAAAAAAATAATCGCAATTAATCGCATGATTAAAAAAATTGTGATTAATTGCGCTGTTAAACAATAATAGAATACTATTTATTTAAATATTTTGGATGTTTTCTTCATTTTCATATATATTGATTTCAATTATAATACAGAATACAAAGTGGACAGTGCTCACTTTATATTTATTTTCAGAAACAGACTCCAATGAGAAACCGCAGAACTGGAATTAATTTGCAAACTGGACACCATTAAATTAGGCTTGAATAAACATTGGGAGTGGATGGGTCATTACACAAACTAAAAACTATTTCCCCATGCTAATTTCCCCCCCACTGTTACTCACACCTTCTTGTCAACTGTTTGAAATATATCTCTTGAAGGGGGTTGGACATGAGCTCTGTCAAAACAAGTCTTAATACAACCTGAGATTCACATAGACAACCACTGTTTCAAAATTACCGATCTTGTTTCTCTCCGCAATGGATAGAAATAATCTAGGAGATTTTCTAAATGGTTTGCTCCTGTCTAGGTAGAAGGCTAATGCCCGTCTCACATCTAGAGTATGGAATATGGCTTCTTCACTAATCCGAAGTGGTTTTGGGAAGAAAGCCAGAAGATGAATGTTTTGATTAATGGGGAATTTCAAGGACACTTGAGATAAGAATCTTTGATAGCCTGACATTGCCCTTGAAATCTCTTTCTACTCTTTGGCACCAGAAGTTCCTTAGTGCTTTAAGGTTAAGAAATCCTTCTTGCTGCCCCTGGGGAGTCAGTCATTTAATCTCCAGTCCTGTTCCAAAATCTTCTGGCTCTTTGAAATAAGTGATAGTACTTTAAATGCAAAATAAAAATCTATTAAATAATAGATAGAAAAGCTTACTATACTTTGAAGGGGGAAAAACTATTAAACAGTATGTTCAGAGTAACAAATGTGTTCTGTTACCAGTGTTTTTTAAAGCTGTGGACCAGTTACTGACTACCATTGTTCTTCTATCTTGCCATTGGTAAAATTTTAGTCTACCAGAAACTTGGTGAAAGTAGTGGATTAAAAGATGTAGTTTGAAATGTTAGTCATTCCTAATTACTTTGATAGGCCAATAACAACACTTCCTCTTTGGAAAAATACTATAAACCAATTCTCCTACCCTTCAGGCAAAAGTGATCGCTACCAGAAAGGTTGTTTTCAAAGATATTCTAATAACCAACACCCAGCTAGTGGTTTAAACAGATGCTTCATAAAGCCACTAAGGACAGGTTCTGGTCCCAGCTAGGAGAGGAGTCTCTGATTTGTGGGGAGATATTTGACAAACCTTGCAGGAATCTTGCTGTAGAGGTGAGTGAAGAGAGAACCCAGCCCCCTTTCCCCCAGATTTGTGAAAGGCTGTTACTGCTGCTAAGTGAACCTTAACAGAATTTATAAAAAGACATCTTCAACTCCAACAGATAATTCAGTACTATAGGAAAAGGAGAACAAGTTGGCGAAATCTGATGACCGTTACACCAAAGATTATATCGTTTCCATTTCTGGAGGTAAGTATTTCTTGTAGATGGTTTTCTACTATTTAATAAAACTTGTACCTCCGAGGAACAATCTCTCTCTAACCCAGAGAACCATTGAGGAACTATGCTTGGCACCAAAAATCTGTAAATTGGAGTGAAGTGTTTGACCTGCATCTTGAGTCAGCAGGTAAAGGACTGATTGGAAGCTTCCATGTAGGGTGAAAGGCGAGTCTGATGCAATAGGGATATCAGACTTTTCTTGGCCACATTGGTGCAATTAGTATGACATTGGCCCAGTTTTGTTTGATCTTGTTGAGAACCTTCAATAACAGTGTTGGTGGATATTTACAGAAAAAAGTTGAGAAATGGGTCTCCTAGAGATAGAGGTTTGAGACCCCCATCTGGAGCAATACGTGATGCATTTTGTGTTGGCAGCTGTGGCAAACAGATCAACCTATGACAGTGGTGGGCAACCTGTGGCCGGCTCCCCAGGGTAATCTGATTGCGGGCCGCTAGAGATTTTGCTGATGTTGACTGTCCCAGTGGGAGCTGTGGGGAGCCGTGCCTGCGGATGGTCTATGTCAGCAAAATGTCTAACAGCCTGCAATCAGATTACCCTGATGGGCCGCCTGTGGGCTGCAGGTTGCCCACCACTGACCTACGAGAATCACCAACCTGAGAATATCATGTGAAGAGGACTCTGCAGTTCAGTTCCCATTCATAATTTAGAAAGAAATGTCTGCGGAGATGGTCTGCCATGGTGTTTTGAATACCTAGGTAGTAAGAAGCTGGGATGACTATGTGGTTGGTTATGCACCAATTACAGAGTTTTATTGCTTCAGTACATAGAGATGGGGAACGTGCTCCTCCCTGACAGTTGATATAGAATCACAGAAGATTAGAGTTGGAAGAGACCTCATGAGGTCATCTAATCCACCCCCCTGTTCAAAGCAGGACCAACCCCAACTAAATCATCCCAGCCAGGGCTTTGTCAAGCCGGGCCTTAAAAACCTCTATGGATGGAGATTCCACCACCTCCCTATGTAACCCATTCAAGTGTTTCACCACGCTCCTAGTGAAACAGTGTTTCCTAATATCCAACCTAGACCTCCCCAATGCAACTTGAGACCATTGCTCTTTGTTCTGTCATCTGCCACCACTCTGAACAGCCTAATTCCATCCTCTTTAGAACCCCCCTTCAGGTAGTTGAAGGCTGCTATCAAATCCTCCTTCACTCGTCTCTTCTGCAGACTAAATAAACCCAGTTCCCTCAGCCTCTCCTCATAAGTTATTTGCCCCAGCCCCCTAATCATTTTCATTGCCTTCCACTGGACTCTCTCCAATTTGTCCACATCCTTTCTGTAGTGGGGGTCCCAAAACTGGACATAATACTCCATATGTGGCCTCACCAGAGCCGAATAGAGGGGAATAATCACTTCCCTCGATCTGCTGGCAATGCTCCTACTAATGCACCCAGTATGTCGTTAGCCTTCTTGGCAACAAGGGCACACTGTTGACTCATATCCAGCTTCTCATCCACTGCCAGGTCCTTTTCTGCAGAACTGCCGCTTAGCTAGTCAGTCCCCGGCCTGTAGCAGTGCATGGGATTCTTCCATCCTAAGTGCAGGATTCTGCACTTGGCCTTGTTAAACCTCATCAGATTTCTTTTGGCCCAATTCTTCAATTTGTCTAGGTCACTCTGGACCCTATCCCATCATCCAGGTCACTAATGAAGATGTTGAACAAAACTGGCCCCAGGACCGACCCCCCTGGGACACTCCACTTGATACCGGCTGCCAACTAGACATCGAGCCGTTGATCACTACCTGTTGAGCTTGACGACCTAGCCAGCTTTCTATCCACCTTATAGTCCATTCATCCAATCCATACTTTTTTAACTTGCTGGCAAGAATACTGTGGGAGACCATATCAAAAGCTTTGCTGAAGTCAAGATATATCACATCCACGCTTTCCCCATAACTGGCTCTGTGGATATCTCATCATAGAAGGCAATCAGGTTGGTCAGGCATGACTTGCCCTTGATGAATCCATGTTGATTGTTCCTGATCACCTTCATCTCCTCCAAGTGCTTCAAAATGGATTCCTTGAGAACCTTCTCCATGATTTTTCTAGGGACTGAGGTGAGGCTGACCGGTCTGTAGTTCCCTAGATTCTCCTTCTTCCCTTTTTAAAAGATGGATACTATATTTGCCTTTTTCCAATTGTCCGGGACATTCCCTGATCGCCACAAGTTTTTAAAGATAATGGCCAATGGCTCTGCAATCACATCAGCCAACTCCCTCAGCACCCTTGGACACATTAGATCCGAATCCATGGACTTGTGCATGTCCAGCTTTTCTAAATAGTCCTTAACCTGTTCTTTCACCAGTGAGGGCTGCTCACCTCCTCCCCACACTGTGCTGCCCAGTGCAGCAGTCTGGGAGCTGACCTTGTCTGTGAAGACCGAAGCAAAAAAAGCACTGAGTACTTCAGCTTTTTCCACATCATCTGTCACTAGGTTGCCTCTCCCATTCAGTAAGGGTCCCAACACTCTCCTGACCTTCTTGTTGCTAACATACCTGTAGAAACCCTTCTTGTTACCCTTCACATCCCTTGCTAGCTGCAACTCCAATTGTGCTTTAGCCTTCCTGATTACACCCTACATGCTCAAGCAATATTTTTTATAGTCCTCCCTAGTCATCTGTCCAAGTTTCCACTTCTTGTAAGCTTCCTTTCTGAGTTTAAGCTCACAGAAGATTTCACTGTTAAGCCAAGCTGGTCGCCTGCTATATTTGCTATTCTTTCTGCACATTGGGATGGTTTGTTCCTGCACCCTCAATAAGGCTTCTTTAAAATACAGCCAGCTCTCCTGAACTCCTTTCCCCCTCATATCAGCCTCCCCGGGGATCCTGCCCATCAGCTCCCTGAGGGAGTCAAAGTCTGCTTTTCTGAAGACCAGGGTCTGTATTCTGCTGCTCTCCTTTCTTCCTTTTGTCAGGATCCTGAACTCAACCATCTCATGGTCACTGTTGCCCAGGTTTCCACCCACTTCTACTTCCCCAACCAATTCTTCCCTGTTTGTGAGCAGC